TAATTATTTATATAGATTGATTTATGAATTAATACAGATTACTTATAATTTTAATAAAAAATTAAAAAAAAAAACCGAACATAAATTCTAACTATTTGTCAAAACCGAAATTACTTTCATGCCAACCTGATGTTACATATTACTTACCGTATATTAGAAATTATTATCAAAGAAGTTACATAGAAAGGGTCTCAATTATTTGTACAGCAATATTGCAGCTTCGATTAGTCCGGTTTGAAAATTTAAAAATAAACTAACTTTTAACGAAGAAAAAATCTCAACAATTCGTACAAAATTGTATTGCATAAATGATAGATTTTTGCACTTTATTCAGAAAAAAATCTCTTTTTGTGCAGTTCATTCGTATGCCTCGATTAATCCGATTTCAAATAAGCGATATTTTATTTGATTATAATTGATTTTTCGATATTTTTGTTGTTGTCACGAGTTTTAATTAGATTTGAAAGTATTTCAATTTTAAGTTTATAATTTCGTTATTGTTTGTTTTCCATAAAATTCTGTCTTCAGTCATGCAATTGAAGAATTACATTAATTTTATCCACATTCAATCCATTAGTAAATAATAAAACTCTAATTTATACACCAAAAAATAGCGCCAAATTTAAATACTGGTACACCCTATATCTTCAATTACATGTAGATACAAACATTGTTTGTTAGTTATTACGTCTAATGTAAAAATAGTATTATCAATTCAATTATAGAATTTTAATTGAATGAATGAATAATTTTGTTATGTTGCGAAATTGGTTATATTTTGATATACACGTTTGTAGTGTCCAGTATGAAGTACGAGAGATCAATTATTTTGTTGAATGATGATGCAACGTTCGTGACAAAGTGCATATAAATGAACGATCGACGTCGATTAAATTGTTTTCCAGGTGAGAAAACACGTGTGCGATGCATTGAAAATGGATGAGCGCGCGCGGTGCGTTGCGGTGCGCTGCGGTACGGCGATTGGACGTAGTTGCATTAATTGTGTACGTACGTACGTACGTAGCAGCGAAAAGGGTTCTAGATTGGGTCGTGCAAAACAATCGAATGCTGCAATAAACTCGATTGTTTCCAGCTTTATGAAAAGTGCCGATAGGTCCATAATGAAGTTGGCGCCATTCCGTTTTGCGGTCGCCGCCGCCGCCGCTGCTGCGGCTTATCAAACCGACAGCCGACAACGAACCAGGAAAATGAGGAAAATGCAAAGCATGTCCGCATCCCGGAAAACACATTGCACATAGTGTATTATATATCCCATCCATTCCCATCTCACTTGCTTCATCCAAACCATTTAGCACTAAATTTCGATCTACCGCCGCCCACTCGAATAATGCTACTAAGATAATTGTCCCGAAATATAGGCCAACCTTCCATCTAATTGATACTCACTCGTTGTTGGAGGTAATTAACTTCCAACCCAACCCGCTAAATACCTAAATGTAATCTAGTCCATCACCATCTCCAATTACATATTTCCAACGTACTTTGCGAATCCACCAAATCAATTACTTTTAGTTGCTATTCTCAATCCTACCAAAGCCGCATTTAATTTCATGAACAAAAGAGAGTTAAAAAAAATTTGGGCTTCTTTTCATCAACCAATCGCCGCATTAATTCTATTGTTTGTTTCCCTCTTTTTTTTTCACTCCAATTCTTTTGTTTCACCACTCGCCTCTCTGAAACCGAAGAAAAACCTTTGTTTCCATACAATAAGAAGGAAATTGATTCACTAAACAAAAGATTATCTTATTATAAATAAATGCAAGGATGATAATATTTCAATTTCACGAAATTTAATGTTTGTGCTGTTTATTTGAAAGTCTTCGATTAGTTCGGTTTCGAAGAGTTGGCCGAAGCGAGTACCCGCACTATTCGAGGTTAATATATATTAGAATCACATCTTCTATTTATCATAATTGTTGTTGCGCAAATAAAGAAATAATCTGACTTGAGGAAACGTAAATTCAAGATGTAATGACGTAAAATAATGTATCAATTTAAATTCGTCAGTAAAACTTCAATAGCTGATATGAAATTTTATCATTGATTTCTCAAGTGGACGAGTAATTTTTTCTTGTTAATTAATACTTTTATTTGTTTTCATGATATTACAGAAGTATTCGAGAAACTAAAAAAAAACTTCTGAAATTTTTTTAATTGAAATTTATTAAATTCTTCCAATTCATACATGCAAATCAATTTAAATTATGCTTTTCGTTATTAGTTTTGCTGTTTGATTTCGCTAGCATTTTACTTGTTTTCACATTTTGTAATTATTTATTTGATATTTAAGAATTTTTAATTGAATGATTTAAATTTAAACACATAAAGAATGCGTTGAAATATTATTGACGTTAGTTGGTTTTTTTTATTGCTTGTCAAAGTTGACGTAACGTTCTTTGAATATCATTGAACTATTGCAATAAGTGTAATTATGAATGAAAAAGTGAAGTGATGAAGAATTAGGAGGAAAATGTAGTAATAAACATAAATACGAATCGTAATAAGTCCAAATTAGCAGTAATACCACGGGTAAGTTCTACTAATAGGATCAATTGACGAAACCACTTGTTTCCTTTAGCACCGTTCTCTTCTCCCCTTCTTCGCTCTATCTCACTTGCTCTCATTCTCTCGCACATGTTTTTTTCGCTCCCTCACGGCCAAATCGTCTTTCAGCCGCACCTCAAACTCAATTAGGCCACGAAATTTATTGGATTATCTTTGCAAAAATCGACCTGTTTCAGCGTAAACACCGGCGCGCATTTTGAGCAGTCGGAACGAAAGAAGTCCTCCTCGTTCCGCGCACAATTCGCCACGGCTCCTTAATCTATTGATTATCCTCTTGGGCAGAGAAAGGCCTCCTCTGATTCACTTAAATTCATATTGAAAGAGTTTTCGTTAACTGCATTTACGTGCGGTGCGTTGCGTTACGTAATCCCATTGTGCGTACGACCAATCGTCAAGCACCATTGAAGTCCGTGCGGCCGGAAGTAAACACTGTTAATACAAACGTTCGCGTAATTTATTGATATAATTGGGGCGTCGTTTTCGGTTTTCACTGTTGTTATTGCGATAAAAGTGCTGGAAACAATTGTGTGTTTTTTTTTTTTTTTTGGTTTCAATCAATTTGATTTAATTCTCTTGTTTTGTTTACTTTTATTATTATTATTATTTTTTATGTAATTTAAATCGTAACTTCTTAAATGTTATAAGGATGGATTACTCACATGATTAGATAAGAAAATTTAATTATCGCAAGGTTATGTTGACAGTGGAAATCGAGAAGATTAGTTGTTGGAAAGTTAAGCAAAGTGTGTCACTGATAGTATTTGCATATATAATTTTACACAAAAGTTGTATTAAATATACTAAAAACGCAATTATTACTACGTGTTTAAAACTTGTTCTCCGAAAGTCTCAGAAATACTCTTCTTGAACCATCAAAATGTTTTTTTTTTTGCATTAATCATTTCTGTGATGATCTTGGAGGTTTTTGGATTGTTGTCGTGGCTTATGCGATGTAAAAGGATTGTCAGAAGTGGGATTCGAACCCACGCCCACAGAAGTGGACTGCGACCTGAACGCAGCGCCTTAGACCACTCGGCCATCCTGACTCGTTACTCCCTTAAAGGATGTGCACAGGATGTGAAAATACTATTTAGATAGATGAGAAAAGAGGATAATTTAAACTTTCAAATTTATGTACTTAATATTTCCTTTCAATTATAAAGATTTTAATAAATTTTCTAACTTTGTAAGCAAATTTATAATTAACTAAATTTTCTTTATTTTTTGTTTCAGATTTGATGAAGTCAACAAAATGAAGAAGAAAGATCTCCAAAATGTAAGTAATTTCATTTGCTTTATCGAGAAATATTACTATTAATATTTCACATTATAATCAATGTTGTTCTTTATAATCAATATTATTCTTGTAACGAATAGAATATTCTTAATGGCCATGTTTAGCAGTCGATTGTGTCGTGTTCGAAAACACTAAGGAATTTTGTAATTATAATATTATTTAAAAAACTATTAGTGATTTCTGTTGAAATTTGAAATTTAATGATTACATAAATAGTTTATTTCCTAAAGTCAAAACTCGCATTGTAATTAGTAAGAATTGTTTAGTGATTATTTATTAGAATTTGAAACTAAATGATTACGTACTCTTTTATTTAGTATTTAATTTCAATTTTGCAATATGTTAGTTTGGGGGGTCAAAAAGCCGCGATCTGGCTGCAAATTGTAGATTGTTCTGAAACAGTTGGTAACTTTAGAGGTTGGCCAAGAATACTGGCTATGAGGTGATAGTGAGTGTACTACGTACGAGCGAGTGTGCAGTGTGTGTGTGTGTGTTGTGTACGGAATATGCGTTCATAATAAACCGATTAATTACGGGGGCAATCGCCGTGCTGCATAAACCTAGGCTAATGCGAAACCGATTCCGGGGCCAATTTGCAATGTACCCTGTCGGCCGTAATTTATAAACGGGAATAGGGCGCGCACACGGGTCCATGCCTTTAAAGATCTATCGCGTCCATATGTTAACCGCCGCTGCGTGTTTGGATAATTTACAATCGGCCACCATTAACTCTCTTGCATACACACACAAACACACACACATCTCGTACCTCCATCAAACCGCCAAATATTAGAGGGCGGCTGACCGAAAGGGCGCACACATTAATTTGCATCCCATCTAAATATTAACGTATCAATCACACTCTATCTGGCTCGAATGCAAATCAAGTCTTTAGATTAACATTAATTCGTAAATTGATAGCGCTTTAACAAACCGAATCGTGTTTAGGTAACGAATCTAATCTCGTTTGCATGCGAAATAAATACAAACTTTGGTTTTCATACTTTTTCGATAACAAATGTAAATGATTCACTTTCAAAGCTAAATTTAATTATTATTATTATACCTAATTATGTGAATTATGAGTTTATAGTTTACAATTAATTTATTATTGGGATTAACTTATTATAACAATAAATACATTAGAGCTAAATATATTAAGATCAGAACTATAGCTGAGAATGTCGTTGATTAAATATTGTAGACTTTGATCCGATTATGGCTTCCATGCAGGTTTCTTAGGCTTCTGGACAGAATTGCTGCGCGATCTCGGTGGATCGATTCCCGTGAAGCTGATCTTTCTATCGTAGATTCGCGATTTCGAATCTGAAGATTTCTCGTTCAGAGACGGCAACGAACGGTTGTACTTGCCCTTATTTGGTTCATCCAGCATCTCCGAAATACCGTTGTCTACCGACGAATCGTACACAACGATGGACGGATTCGTTTTTATCTCCAAGGCCTTCATGAATTCGTAATCGTATCCCCTGTATGGAGACTGCTTGAAGTAGAATTTCTTACGCAACGTCGACAAGAACAACGGCCTCAGCTTGTCCGACGTTTCGGAGAACATGATGATGTCGAAGACGTCGTCTCTCTCCCCGTTGTTCTCGATATTGTACGCGATGTTCCTCATGAACGTGTTTATATCGTCGTATGGATCAACTAAAGAATTCATTGGGTTTCTTAGATTTAGTCACTTAATAACTGCATCTAACCTGTATTGAAAACGATGAGCTGATCCGCTTCCAGCGGAGCGTCAAACTTGATGTCCGTTTTGCACACGCTGTCCGTTTTAGGACTGTGAGATGGTCTCCTTGTTCCCTATAATCGTTTGTTTAGAAATCTCGTTTTTTTTTTTGGTATGTTTACAAACAATCTTACCTGCACGAAGAACAGTCTAGGTTTGTTCCTGAAAGCGAACACGAACGGAGAGGAAATATCTTTGATTTTGATTATCTCGTTGTTCTCCAAATAAATGCCGTTGTCCGTCGATTCGCCAAAAAAACCGATGATCAAAGACGACTTATCGTCATTGTCGGACGTTTTGACTGAAGGAAACGGTAAAACTATATGGAATTGAATGTGGTTATCAAAAAGACTTACTGTTGCTGAAGATATCTTCGAGATCCTGTTTACTCTTGATGGGATGCACGTTTTCATCTGGTACATCGAAACGGCAATGCTTCATGGCTTCCTTGAACGTGTCGACTAGTTTCTTGAACAATTGATCTTTCGGCACGAAAATATGGACGGAAGCTTTTCCGAAATCGTATTCGTCCGGTATCTTTTCGGTGGACGGTTTAATTTCTGGTGGATGTTTATTTAGGTTCGACATGATTTCTCATCGAATTTTCACTGCACACTATGTAAAATACGAACGGTCTGTTTTATCTGTTCCGATAAGACTGATATTGTATATTATTAGTTTGATTAAGATAGCAAGTTTCATCGATAATGAACGCTTTATCGGGAATAAATAACAAAAAAAAAAAAAAGTAGTGAAACAAAGGAACAAAGGAAAGTGGATATCCGGATTTCAATGAAAATTCAAGCAATGTCTTATTTAAGCAAAGTTAAACGTTCATTCAATGGTGAAAATAGTAATTTCATATAGATAATAAGTGTATTCTCCAATAAGAATGAATTGTGAGTATTTTAAGACTGCGCTTCAGTTGTTGAGTATAAATTCAATTGTATGTGGGTGGGTAATAGATTCATTCCTTATATCAGGGGTTCCCAACCTTTTTTTTTTTTTTTCTACATCGACCCGTTTGAGTAAATCAGTTTTCGAATTGACCTCCAAATTTTGTATGTCGTAATGCACACAAACCAGCAACTTTTCTTTTTATTTATTACTCAATTTCGCAACTTCGTTTGATTTTCATATTATGATTATATAATAATTATTTGAATGTAAAATGAATGTTAATTAAGAAAAAAATTAATGCGATGGTCGTGGTTGATGTACGAATTTTATTTGCATATTATCGATTCAATCATTTTTGTTGCCATAGGTTTATCAATTTTCAATTACAGAATTGAAGATTTCCATGAAGATATCTGCGAATCGGTGCCGATCTGCGGATCATGTGTTGAAAAACACTGTTTTAAACAATATGTTATTAACGTCGATTTACATAAGTGTAAAATAGATTATAGTTTATAGATTATAATTTGGATTGGTATCCATCATATTGATATCATTATTATAGATTCCCGATAACGAATATGCAGGTATATCATTCAAAGAAGTTGCAGACGTCTCGGAATTACAATTATCTACAATCATATCCACCGCGTTGTTCGACAGTTTATCATCGACGATTTCCCAGGCCTTTATGTATTCGTATTCGTATCCTCTGTATGGAGACTTCTTGAAGTAGAATTTCTTGCGCAACGTCGACAAAAACATTGGCCTTTTCTTATTTTTATTCGTTTCGGAGAACATGACAATGTCGAAGACGTCGTCTCTCTCCCCGTTCTCTTCGATATTGTACGTGATGTTGTTCATGAATGTGTTTATATCTTCATATGGATCAACTAAAAAGAGATCGGTATAATAACGTGCATTGTAACTTAATAACTGTATCTAACCTGTGTTGAAAATGATGAACTGATCGGCTTCCAACGGAGGGTCAAACTTGGTGTCCTTTACATCAACGCTATCCATCTTTGGTATGTTCGATAGTTTTCTCAAACCCTACATATGTAAAGTATGTACCACTGATCTAACTTTGTGTATCAATAAAACTTACCTGTATGAAGAATAGTTTTGGTTTATGCCTAAAAGCGAATACGAATGGAGAGGTAATATCTTTGATATTTCTAACATCGCCGTTCTCCAAATGAATGTCCTTGCCGTCTGATTCTCCAAAAAACGCGACGATCAAACATGTCTTATCATCCTTGTCGGCCGCATCAGTAAACTGAGTGTTACTGTACACATATTGGAGATCCTTTTTACTCCTGATTATATGCACGTTCTCATCTGGTACTTCGAAACTGCAATTTTTCATAGACTTCTTGAACGTTTCGACCACTGTGTTGTAGCGGCTGTCCTTCGGCATGAAAATGTGCACCGAAGCTTTTTCGATCTCGTATTCATCCGGTATCTTTTCGGTGGATGGTTTAATTTCTACACATTCATCAGATTGCTTCGACATTATTTATTTCTCACCGAATTTTTTATAAAAAAAAATGTGCCAAAATATAATAGCTGTTGAGTGTTCAACTGCTTTGATAAGACTGATATAGTGTATTACTAGTTTTAATCAAATACCTAGTTCCATCGATAACAACGCTTTAACGAAATACATTCAAGTAGGCGGAAAGTCCTCGATCGTCATAATTGTGACCAATAAAAGCAATTAAAAAAAAATTAAACCTGTTTTTTTTTTGATTATATTTCAATAGAAAATGATTATACTATGATGTAAAGTAGGCTTGTTCAAATATCGACATAAAATGGTGACATAATTTTTTATTAAATATCCTATTTATGTGTTCTTTAAAAAGAAAAGAAAACGATAAGCGTTATCTGCGAGAAAAGTCGTCAGTTATTGGTAATAATTGTTGCGCATTGTATGTTGATGATGGAATCGAAAGATTTTTGCTGATATTTGAGGGGAAAAAAATGTGTGAAAGTTGTGATTTGATGCACATAAACATAATAATATAATGCACATAAACACTTCGCGAACTTATTCATTGTGCCGGCATTTTTGCATGCGATTTGCAATTCAAATCTGTTGCATTTATTTTTTTTCCGCATCGCTTTCTCCGGCAACATTTACCAAATCCTCTGCCAACTGGAATTCTCGAATCAAATGAAACGAATTTTATTATTAGATAAAGTCAATTACACTCTTTATCGCTCAATTTCAATGTTATCTAATAATTATGAATACGAAGTGCGGAAATATACAATGAATTTATCTCTAGAAAAGAATAATTTGTTATTATACAATCGTCTATTCGTTAACTAAGAAAAGTTTAAATGGAATTTTGTGCAAAATATAGTTAGACTTTGTAAATTACCCCAGTTGGGGTAAAAGTAATTCCGAACGACGGTTACACATTAAATCGTATAGTTGCGTCTATTGTATCACAACTTAACAGCCTTCTTCAGCCTCTAAATATTTGGGCAGGATCATTAAACTTAGATAAAGAAACGGTGGTGTTTTCCACAAGGTCAAACCCTTTTCTCCCATGCAGCCCCTTTTTGAAATGAACACATTTTTGTATTATATAGTTTAGGGGGATCGAACTGAGAGGAAGTCTTAGCTAAGGGGTCAATCTTAAAAGTTGGTCTTATTTGGGAGAGTCCAAGGAAGAGCATTTACTTCATAAACACTAACTTAAGAGGAGAATGTAACTCTTAGTAATAATATAGTTGACCTCTCAATAAAACTTCGATGTATACAATAAAGTTAATTAAGAATATTGCATTTAATATTCATAAACCCCTCTAAGACTCTGCAACGACCTAACTGCGAGATAATCCACGGTGTCCAAGGATTTCTTAATCCTGGGACACGAAAATGTATTCATAAAAAATACTGGAATGTACACTCGTCATGAAATTCATTTTCTTAAAGAAAATTGTAATTTCTTGAAACGAGTTATTATGACTGTATGTACTTGAATATATAGAAATTTCCGTATTGGTTTATTGCTAATAAATAATTACAAATATCTTTGTAATTGAATAACATACAGAAGTAATGTTAACATGAAATTATTACAGATTAATAATGAACATTATTGTGTTTGTTAGTTTATATAAACGGATTTCGATGATGTACGCGTTTCACGTTATTTTTTTTTTATTATTTTAAATTGAAAAAAAAAATGTTCAGTTTGAAATGTATATTATTCTTATGGTAGCTGCGGCAACAGTAACAACAAACAAAACAAGAAATAATTTATGGTCGCAAAATATTATTATTAATAATAATAAAAACAAGTAATTAATCACGAATGGGGTTTTAATATTTAATTGAATATATAAATAAATAGACCCGGCGAAAATTCAATTACGAATCGATGACGTTCGCTTTTACCAGCGCAACATACGAATTCGCTAACATTCGTTTCCATTTATTAGTGCACGTTTCCATTCTTGTTTGTGCGCCACCAATTATTACCGAGCATTATTTTATGCACAAAAATATTTCTGAATTAATGTAACAAAAGTTCGCTAAGTAGGCTGAACAAAAAAAAAACAAAATAAAAATAATTTTCATCCTTTTGTAATTTCTCAACATAATTTCAAGTTATTAAAATACTGGAAAATGTGCATAGACTTTAGTTGACGTCGAAATCCGTAGAGAATTTCAATTTCTACCAACTTTACATCACTAATCTTGCATTTCTCCTATTCATTCTTACCGATCTTCTTTGAAATTTAGCATGAAACATCGTTAGACTTGAACAAATTGAGAAACAACTTTTGTTTTTTCAGAAACAAATGAATTAACGCCAACTTAACGAACTTATATCCCAACGTATATTATTTTTTTAAATTAAATTTGTTGTTTACAATCTGCCGCACGAGTTAACAGTTTTTACAATGAAAACAGTTTCCCATTGGAAAATAACAATATACATAAATATTGTTAAGTTGTTTAGTCAAATTTTTTGCATATTTAACTATGGATAAAATAATAATTCCGAGATTTGAAACGAGAGATTTCGTCCTTCCGCTAATTAATATAGGTATTTTTTTTTTGGTAAAACCGTTTCGCTGTTATTTTGCTGCGAATGCGAGTGCTCAGTATATACATACTTACTTATATTATATATATACATGTGCAAAGGGAAGAAAATGGGAAGAGAAATAAGGAACGAATGTTACAAAGGAGAAGAGGAGATTTTTCATAAAGGATCCATATTTTCCCGGAGCTTTTCAAAAGGGAAAAATATGCGATCAGATATATATATATATCTACATCTATATATGTGTGTATTCGGTGTAATAAAGATTTTGGCCGGTGATATAATAATAAAAAGGCATCCGGCTTTTATACGTGTTTTTTTTCCCTCTTCTTATTTCGCGTTCCTATTTTTTTTTGTATTTACATCTTTCTTCTTCTGTATTTTATTTTCATGTGTACAGCGTGTATTCTTTTCTTGTATCTTGTTGTTGTTGTTCGTCTCTTTTTCTTCACATACGTTTAGGGGTGGACGTTTGAATGCGACGGCGAGATTGAGAGTGTGCGAGTGGAAAAGAGCTAGAGGGTTGATGAAAATTAGGATCAAAGCGTTGAAGTCATTCACAAATGACGCCGTTTATCAGCACTTTGGGGGGGTGCGGCGGCAGCATTCGCATTCTTTCCCGATCCTCTATCGCCTTTCATGCGCCCTTCGGAGTTTTCCCATTCAACGCAATTCTCCTTCCATCCCTTATATCTCATTTACAGCGACAAAATACCCTTCGCCCTCACCATCTGCACGTTTCGTGCGGTATTATTTATTTTTTTGCTACCCTCATTCCGCTCATCATCCACCCTTTAAAAAACCGCGTGATACCGTCCCACGCGCCCTAATTTACAAACAACAACCCGGCGCATCCACCATTTGGTAGAATATCTGGAATTTTTCATACCGTGAATATTTTACATACTTTTTTTCACCCTCTTTTTTGATTATATTGATTAATTAAATCGAATCTTTCTTTAGATTAGAACTAATAATTGGAATAAGTGAGTTTTAACATTAAAAATTGAGTTTCTCAAATCTGAAATTGACTAATAATTAAGTAATGAAAATTACTTTTACTTAATTTCAAACAAATATCTTAAAAAATAAATTATTTCAAATGCAAATATTTATATTTAAGTAGGAAACTGTAGTCGAAAATAAACTGTGTGTGATTAGAGCGACGATAATAAAAGTGGCACGACTTTGGAATGTTTGCGTGGAAAGTTTATTGTGAATGTTTCCTTTACTTTACTCTCTCTCTCTCTCTCTCTTTCTTTTTTGTATCGTGACTCGTCCCGTTTATGTGCGCACAGAAATAGAGAAAGAGATGGAGAGAGAACAGTGTGTGTGTGTATTTTCCAGCAGTTCGCCGGAAGTCTTAATAAAATACGATGGCTCTCTCATTCCGGGGGCTCGGAAATTTATTAAAATGTGAATGAATCTAGCAAATTTCAATTTCGAATGCATGCACATCGGGGGGTTTTTTGGGGGTGTGGGTGGGTTGGTGGGCGGATGAGACGTCAGCGGAGGCGGTGGCGGCAATTCCAATTCCACTTGCAACGAACGCCATACACACATTCGTAGTATACGTATGTGTATATGAAACAATTTCGCTTCGTCGATTTTCAGTTTCAGGAAGTTTTTTTGCTCAATGCATACACACTCTTTACATATAAATTCCGACTTCAATCTCGCGTCTTTTGCTTACGCTTCTGATCGCTCCACTAAATTTTCCAATGGATTAACAAGATGTTATAGTAAACATTAAACTTTCTAGAAATGAATAAACTAATAGGAATGACTTGTACAAGTACTATCGTTTCGTTCTGGATGCGTTTACGTAATGTTAACATGCGATGACTACGTTTCTTCTCTACAGTTTGTCGACACGTGTGGATATGTGACAAGTGTAATAACGCATTCCGTTTGGCTTTCCATCGATATTGATTTATGGCGTGTACACAGAGCGAGAGCACGGATCGACGTATGAATAATAAAAGGAGACGGATCAGGACGTTCGCTGATGTCCTTTTTATACTTCGCGTGCACTTGACACGGAAAGCACAGCAATTCCGAGAGGACCTTCGCGTGGAATCAACGAATCCTCCTCCTCCCAGCAATCAAATCTACACGACAACCGTTTTCGTTTTCCGATAACAAACAGAAAAAAAAAAAAAAATCAAATGTGAAATTGATCGCAAAGACGAACATTGTTTGGGGAAGAAAATTTAACACTGTTTTCTTTTTACTTGATGAATCAATTTTAATCTAAATTTTCGATTTCATTGGAATTTCTTCATTAATTTAATGACTCGCATAGTACGGTTATTCGATTCGGCCGCTGTATGAAACCGGATTAATATGAATCTGCATTGATCAAAGACGCACCACCAAAAAAAAAGGAAGAGATGTTTTGAGCATCTTGAGTATAAAAATGATGTAGTGAATACGATGAAAATTTAATAAAAGCGTGATTAAAGAATATTGCAGCGCGTTTCCCTCCCCCTAGTTAAACACAATATTGATATCAAGG